TTACTCAGTGTGTATTTTCCTACACACAATTTGACACAATTGTGTAGCAAAATATGAACACTGAGTAATAAATAAATATTAAAATGATGAACGTATAGTCTAGACCTCTACACCACCTGCACGTAAAAGTTAGGGACAAAACAAATACTACTTTGGTAGAGTACATTAGTAGACAATGACATGTGAATTTTGGATTAAATTTAACATTATCGAAGACTTGGAATAGGGTCAGTCAGATAACCAGCAATGACGATTTTCTTTTTATTTTAGGCCAAAAATGTAAAATTCCAGGACATTAGACAAAATAAGGACTTGGACCTATTTCAAAGGACTTTCTATGACAAACGTTAAAATTAAGGACTTTCAAGGACAAAGGACAAAATTCAAGGACTTTCAAGGGTTGTGGGAACCCTGTTTCCCCTGTTTCTAGTTGTTCCCAAAAAATCCTGACTAAGTGATTGAATCGACTTTAAAAATATAGTAAAATAAAACTAATAAAAGGATTGAGATCTTATTCCTTCTTTCCCCTGTTTCTCAATTAATTCTGTTGTTCTCAAGAAATGGTGACGAAGTGATCGAATCGCCAATAAAAAGAAACATTAAACGAAGGTTTAATAGAAACGATAGGAAATTTTCTTTATTCCTGGTGTTACAAACACATTCACACGTAGACACGACATAAAACCAGTTCAGTGTGTATGTGAAGATAGGCCAACGACGTAAGACAAGAATATTTTGAGCCAGAACCACGGTACAGAAATCGCGCCGCGGCAACTAGCGCCCCCTGCTGCCACGCGACGACCGATAAATACTAACGTCTGCACTGCTGCCACGACAACGGACACTAACAAAGTAATGCGCGGTTGCCACGACGACCGATACACATTGATGACTGCAGTGCTGTCGTGACGATATATGTTTATATATACATATATATATATATTTATACATCACTACCACCGGTACAAGGAACACCACTTCGTGCAAAACAAACATAAAACCATTTGTGCCATATATATAAAGATGTACATATATATATATACATGTATATATATATATTATATATACATGTATATATATATATATTATATATGTTATGTACACGTGTAATGCAAGCAGATTTTCAAAGATTCAGGTTGTTTTTTTCACTTTGTCACGTGCATGCCTGTCTGAGAGATATTTCTGCGTTTACCAGAGTTTTCAGATCATATTTATGATATATAATTGCGCATGTACATAATAACTTCGCGTGACGGGAACATTATATAGCGAGCTTTGATATTACGGAAATTGGAGAAAAAAAATTATGGTAAAATAAACTCTAATAAAAACATTGCGATCTTATTCTTTCTTTCCCATGGTTCCCACAAAAGTGAATTATTTTTTCAATGACTTATCAATGACATTTCAAGGACAATCTGTGACAAGTAGTTTTAGCTTTTTAGAGTCATCATGTATACCTTAGATTCATATTAAAAAGTAAAAATAGTTGTTTTACACGAGTGCCGACAGCAGATTAAACAGCCGCTATAGCTCGCTGATTGCCGACGTAAACAATAGTCGTTTCATATTGTCATTCACGTAGATTCATGTCACAGTCCTGCAACAATATGTAAAGGTTTGATGTAACATGTATCACTCAGAACTATATATCACACAATGTACTGTATCACTCATAAATTGTATTATTTTAACTGCTCAACACTATTGCATTTATCAGATTTTGTACATGTCTTCAGTACATGTATTTGTAGTTAATTTACATGCAATAAAGATTTAATAATAATAATAAACAGTTGCCGGTTCTTTATGCTGACCTTCCATGATTCATCTGCGCTGTCAGGCAGTATAACACAGTGAATCACATATTCCTTACTCCCCTCTCGCGGATGGTATCGCCCACGACCAGTCAAGCATGGAAAAACTTTTGCATCAAAATGACCGTATTTCAGACGAAACTTTTTCCCTCCCCGAGGCACAAAATGTGAATTTACGCCTATAATACACGCGCACACGTGCATGCGACCACGCCCGCGTATGCGCGTTCATTAGTGGATGTGTATGTGTGTTTGTGCGACTGTAAAAACGCGTATTATAGCCGTATAATCATATTTTATGCTTTGGTGGGGTGAAAAAGTTGAGGTTGAAATACGGCCATTTACCTGCAAAAGTTTTTCCATGCTTCACTGGTCGTGGGCGATACCATTTGGAAGAGGGGGATCACTTATACCCTGAGTGAATATAACCTGATAGGATATAGATTAAAGTACCATATAAATCTGTAAATAGATAGACATATCAGATATAGATAGATAGAAATAGATAGAATACCAGATATTAAATGAAAAGCTATATTAGTGGTATTTTCTTGGTTTTTGGTGATGGTTGATTCTATAATGGTACATTATTACTGCTAGGTACTCTGAGTACATGGTTCCCACACGTGTGAATTAGTTTTTCAAAGACTTTTCAAAGACATTTCAAGGACGTTTTTTTTCAAGCACAATCTGTGACAAGTAAACAAATATTTATTACTCAGTGTGTATTTTCCTACACACAATCCTCCCTCAGCCTCACCTTCTCCTCAGGTGAGATATTCATGGAGAGACGTAACATCTTCTCTATGCGCGTCGCAAAGCCGTAGCTGTCCGGCAGAGTGAATCCCGACCGCATGGTCGCCGTGTCGAACAGTAGCATCGCCAGATCCTGGGTCGTTGGGTCGTCCTGCTCCGTCTGGTGGCGAGAATGGGAAACGCGCGTCAGCGAGACGGACAGACGGACAGACGGAGACTAGCTCCGAGGATCGGGTCGGGTCGTTACAGGGGCCGGGGGTAATTAGAGAGTTAATTAGCTGAGGTAATTAGTGAGTTGCTTATTCAAATTCTTAAGCAGGGGGCTGTATCTTGCCTCCTGCCTTGATGACCATCCTGCTTCCCACCCCTCCCTCACGGTGCTCGCTCCCCTCTCCTCCCGCTTCCCGCGCTCCCCGCCGGTGCTCACCTCTACCCTGCGCAGCAGCTCCTTGATGACGGGGTGTCGCGGGTTGACCTCGAGCGTCTTCTTCTGGTTGAGGTAGAACTGCTGCGTGGGGTCGTCACGTTTAGCGTACGCCTGCGATCGGACGAGACGTTCCATGTTTCCCGACCAGCCGTACTGAGACGCGACGAGAGCGCAGGGAGAGTCGCTCAGACGCTCAGATATCACAGCCTTCTCTATCTGTATGCGAGAGAGAGGGGGAGAGGGGGAGAGGGTTAGTTACACGACAACAATCAGGCTTCTCTATCTGTATGAGAGAGAAAGAGGAGGAAGGGTTAGTAACACGACCAGCGAAGGAAGAGCGAAGGGAGGGAGAGACGGAGAAGAGGGAGGGATGGAGGGGAGGGAGAGACGGAGAAGAGGGAGGGATGGAGAGGAAGGAGGAGGTAGACAGGTATGGGTCAGCGACACAAGCACACGATATACACAGATAACAACAAACGAATCTATAAAATCATCAAGCCGGGCAACGCTTGATGAAACGCTTCCAGTTACAGCACTCCGCAAACAAAAAATTCCGTGTCCAAAACATCTACAACACGCCAGGCAACACGACAACATGTAACGCCACGTTACGCCTAGTTGCCGCGACGACGCATCTTTACGTCGCCCCGACGCCGGCACCACCTCACCTTGTCTGATAGCGGCTTTTCCTTCAGCCACTTGAGGAGAGGTTCGTATTCCTTCTCCATCGCCTCCTTCCTCTCCGAGCTCTTCTCACTCTCGTCCACCTTCAGTCCCTCCTTCGCGACGTTCTAAACACGAGAGAAAGTACCTTTATGAACGGTTCAATCCTAGGGGTGAGGGAGAGAGAGAGAGGGAGGAAGGGAAATGGCAGTAGAGAGAG